AGCAGCTAACTTTGTGAATATATATATATATTGTATGGGTGGGCTTGTAAGCCAGTTTAACTCACCACGAGTTCAATATGAGCGAATTTGGATTCTTAGTAAGTCGGATTGAATTTTTAACAATGTTAAAATTTATAAATTTTTTAAATCTAACTCGATTCAAACCTCTATTAGGTCAAGTTGACTTATGAACCATGACCCATTTTACCAGCTTCATCATTATTACATTATAGAGTAATTATGACACCTTTAAAACAACCATCATTATTATCACTTTCATTAGGGTTATTATCACCACTTTATTATTAATGTGACACAAATTTATTTGACACAAATTTATTTATAATTAAAGTTCGTGGAATAATCATAATTTTTACTTGCAAAATAAATTAAAAATTAAAAAAAAATTGAAAATTTGTTTCATTTTATTTTTTCTGTTGGGTTTGTCTATATTTTAAATTTGAAGTTATGCAAAATTTGATTTTGTCATTACCCAAAAGAGATTTCATAAAAAATGTTGTGTTGGTGGTTTTCCGTATGGGAAAGAAGGCATATGTGATGGTGTTGAGAAAGCTTTGGTACATTTATGTCTCGTTTTGATATAGGGAAAAATAGGGTGAAAAGAGTAAAAATAAGATTAATTGTTTAGTTAAAAAAAATAAGTGAAAAAAATAAAAAAATGTAAACTCTATTTATTTATTTCTCTTATATATATATATATACATATTTTTACTTATTTGTCTTTAATTAAATAATCACATTTTTATTTTATTTCTGATTTATTGTCACTCAATTTTCACTTCTCCCTCTCCCTACACTAATTTTCACTTATTTGTTTCTCTTTACAAACATGTCATGAAGCTAGCATAGCATCTTTGATTCTGTCTCTCTCTGGTCCATCACGTGAGGTAGTACTACTTTTTGGAGAGGAGAGAGAAAAAGACACGCAGTTCTAGAGAGGGACCCGATGGCAGAGTAGAAAGAGCCAAATCAACCAGGTTCCCTCTCAAGTCTCAAGTCTCAAGTCTCTCTCTAGTCTTGTCTGATAAATTATAATATCTTTCTCGGTGTGGTAGCATTGTAAGAAGAGAAGGGAAAAAGAACAGGGTCTGTTTGCACTTTGCAGTTGCAGTTGCACCGGCGAAGGAAGGAGCGAGTGAGCGTGAGTGTGTGATATATTATAAATAGATAGCGTGTGAGAAATGCAGCAGCACCTGATGCAGATGCAGCCCATCATGGCAGCCTACTACCCCAACAACGTCACCACTGATCACATTCAACAGGTCCTTTCCTTTCCTTTCTCTTCTCCATTCTCCTTAATCCTTATCCTTCTTCTCCGCTTCTTTCTATCTCCCACTCCCTTCGCCTTCTGTCTCTGCTCAGGGAACCTTTTCTTTTGTGTCCCTGCTCCCTCTGCTTCTGCCTCTTCTGTTGCTGCCACTGTGCCCTTTTATTCTTTGTCACTTGCTTCCTCCTCTTCTCCTCTTGGGACCCTTTATTTATTCACTCTTATGCTGCTACCCCACTTTCAGCCTTCCTGTCTTTTTTACTCTAATCATCAATTTGCTATTTTCTCCGACCTCAACTCTTGTTTTTTGCAATTTACTAGATTTGTCTAGTGTAGCCATGTCTCTGCCTCCTCTGTTTTGGTTTACCACCTTCATGCTGCATTGTGTCATGTGGGGCAACTTTCAACAATTATAAATTGAATAAATAAATGGTTTCATTGCTTCCTTGCGGAGAAAATGCTAACATTTCTCATTTCAGTTGCATTCTGGTATGGAGTACAGTTTTTTTTTTTTTTTTTTTTTTTCAATTTTCTTTTTGGTATACATACATTTATAAAATTCACCCTAAAATCATATTATCAATAAGTTCCGTGCATAATTTCTGAGTCTTTTCTAGATCACCGTGCATATTGCATCATGGTGTGTTTTTAAGAGGGGACAGTTTAATGAGGACTTTTTGTTGCTTCCGCACCACCTCACATTTACTAGGAATTTTTCCCTGTTTTTTTTTTATGGTATCGTCGACTTCATATGACCATATTCTTTTCTCTTTACATGCAGTATCTGGACGAGAACAAGTCCTTGATTCTGAAGATTGTTGAAAGCCAGAATACTGGCAAGCTGAGCGAGTGTGCCGAGTAAGAATTGGTTTAAATAGTAGTATCAATTGAAAATTTTGTTTCTCGTTTCTTTACATGCATGTCCCCCCTTGATCCCATCATATGTACGGTGAAGTTTAAGCATTTCCTCGGGCGGATAAGGATTCGAAGTTGTACTATCCATTATATCAGGATTTCAACTCTATTGTATGATATAATAACAACAATTTGTGAGAAGAATAATATGGCTGAATTAGTGTCATATAGTAACTTTAAGGTATTGAAACTTGGAAAATTTACTTGCATCAATCCCTGCATTGACTTTATATTTTAGTTTTCTCGTTACCCGTTCCATTTGTAGGCCAACAACATGGCTGCAAGATTAAACAGTCCTTAACATTAAATTTTTTTAAGTAATTTTAAACTTCCTAGCTTCTCATGTGAAAGTTTACTCGCAATTACAGTAGTTTTTATTATAAACTACTCAATATAATGATAATCGAAATTGTTGGAAATCTTCAATCTAAATTGAGTCTGCAGTGACTTTCCATCACCTTGCAGGCTGTTTCTAAGGTGTGGGGATACCCCACAATACTTAGAAAATTTGGATGCAAAGTTTTTTAAAATCATGAAAGAAAGTTGCAATTAATGATGATGAAAAAAGTTGCAACTTTTTTTGTAAAAATAGTGTACATCCAGTTTGATAGGAATGTCAATCTCGTACTTTAGGACAGGACAACCTTTTTAGCAATTGCATCATTCACGTTTTGTCAATGCAGTTGTAAGGTAACAGAGGATACTCTCAAGTCTTAATAGATTAACTTTTTCTTTTGGGTTATGGAAAAGTTGCTTCCAGAAATCCAACTTCTCCTTGCTTACCTAGAGATAGAAAGCCGACACAATTATTGGAATTTTCCCTAAACATCAGAATCTCGTTCGTTTCCTGTTCCTTTTGTTGTGGTCCTAAATGGTCATAATCCTCTTGCCATTACTTCAGGAACCAATCAAGGCTGCAGAGAAATCTCATGTACCTAGCTGCAATAGCTGATTCTCAACCTCAACCACCTCCAATGCCTGGTCAGGTACACATTTTATTTGTGAAATATTGCGATGTTATTATGATCCACGTCACTGGCTAGCTCTTCTTATCATACATATTACATAACATAAGCTTCATATTTAACTTCATGCTCTTGTGAATATCACTGCAGTATCCTTCAAGTGGAATGATGCAGCAAGGAGCACACTACATGCAGGCTCAACAGGCTCAGCAAATGTCACAACAGCAGCTAATGGCTTCACGCTCCTCCCTATTGTATGCTCAACAACCCTTCTCAGTGCTTCAACAGCAGCAAGGCATGCACAACCAACTTGGCATGAGTTCCAGTGGAACTCAAGGGCTACACATGCTGCAAAATGAAGCCACCAATGCAACCATGGGAAGTGGAGGGTTTCCTGATTTTGTACGCATAGGAGGTGGCAAGCAAGATATTGGTGGGAGTTCAGGTGAAGGAAGAGGAGGAAGCTCTAGTGGCCACTCTGGTGATGGTGGTGAAACCCTTTACCTCAAATCTGCTGCTGATGGAAACTAAACTAGCCAGGGAAAATGCCAAAATTCCTTGGCCTTTGGCTAGTTGTTTAGTTAGGAAAATTAGGCAGTGAACGTTATTATGTAGGGGGTAAGGAAGAAAGGGAAAACTTGTTGCTTAAATATCTTGTTTGTTTATCTTGTGCTGAAGGCGAACAATCTCATCACTGCCTTAAGGTGTCTGCAGTAGTACTAGCTAGTAACATGATGCATGTTTTATTTTCTTGTGTAAAGTTTGTCATAAATGTCAATGTCAAGGTCCCAAGCTCATCTCCTTTTTGTTCTCTATGCCTACTTGTCGGAGAGGGTTCTATGTAAGTTTGACGCTATTTCTGCTTTATGGATTTTGATGCATCAGAGTTCAAAGTTCAAACGTAAACCTATACCCATCATAGCAAATAACTGTATACAATATTTATTGATTTTGCAACATGGTGGTTAATACCCGGCAAGTTTTTTCCCTACGCCCGCGTGTATTAAATTATTTTTTATTTATTAAAAAGAGAGAATATGTGTGTTTTTTCTTCTTATTTTTTAAACTTTTCAGATTAACATTTTTTTATTTGTGTTGATATTGTTTCATAAGTTTTGATATGAGTTAATAATTTTACTTTTTTTTTAATAAAAATTTAATGATACTTAAGAAAAATAAAATTAATAAATCATAAATTTATTTTTATAAATTTAATAAAATTAATTAACATAATTATTTATATTAATTAATTAAAAGTGTTTTATAATAATAATATGAATAATTAATTTAAATAAATAAGTAGTGACAAAGTAAAGTTAATACAGATGAGTATCATAAGATACATACATATGGAGAAAATTTTATTACCAATAAGATACGTGCATTTGGAGACAATTTTATTGATGGGGAGTTAGTGATTTCTATGTGTGCTTTATGTAAAAAAAAAAAAATAATATTTGTATTAGTTATGGAGCTTAGTTTTATTTTTATTTATTTTTAATCTTTTTTATGCTTATGTTCCATTAATAGCTACAAATCTAACTTATTAATTCTATTCCGACTATTATTATTATTATTATTATTATTATTATTTTCTATTCGGACTATTTGTAACTCAACCATCACTTCTCAGCTAACGTATCTGTAAAAGACCAAACAAACAAACATCAAGACTCAAACAAGTATGGGACGTTCTTTAGCAAGTGAATTTGATTAATGAAAATTCACGATTGTGTAAATAATTGGAGAGAATTTTCTCCATTTTTTCTTTTGATATCTATCTATTTTCTCCTTATTTTACTTTTCATTAACCCTACACAAGAATATTTAAATAGAAATTGAGTATAATATAATTTATAAAATTAAAGTGAATTTTATAGATACGAAGTTGTAGTGTTTGAAAAGAAGGGAAGGGAAGGGAGTGAGAAGAAATTCCGCAAAGAGCGAGAGACAGTAGTTGATTAGGAGCCACGAGTTGGCGCGAAAGCAAAGGGAAGAAGAAGAAGAAGAAGGTGCCGAAGTTGAAGGGCATCGCGAAGAATGTCTCTTGATGGAACCACACCCGCACCCACACCCACATTCACTTCCACTCCTCCCCTCTCCTTTCATTTTCCCCCTAAAACTAAAATATGCCGTTCCTCTCTCACTTTCACCTTCACATTTTCCCACACCCTTAACGCTCCCTTCACATCCCCATCCATATTCCTTCTCCTTATGAACCTAATCCTTCACACCTTCCGATCTACTCCGCAATAATGGTACCTCGCCAATTCTCACTTTAATTTTTTCTTTTTTCATCCATTGCGCTTTCTCTTTCTATATACTCACCAATCATAAAATGCAATGCACACAAATTGCACACTGCTTTATTCTATACATCACTACATAGAAAAGGATGCATTAGGAATCAAATGCATGATATCTTGTCATGTAGCAGCTAACTTTGTGATCAAACCCACTTTTACCCAATGTGCTAAATTCCAAACTAAACTAAAATACTATTCACGAGAATTATGCTTGACTTAGTGATTGTAAGTTCTAGTTTCGTGCTCTCAATGTCCATTATTGTTGATGTTAAAATCATTTTTGACTAACAAAAGTACATATTAGTTATTGATTATCAACTTTGATATACCGGATGGATAATGTTAATAAAAAACCATTCAGACTTATTTTTTTTGGTTGCTAATATTACAGTTCCTGTCTAACTAAGAGAAAGAAACTTGCTTCAATACTAGACATATTTTAGTTTAGTTTGGGGTTTAAACTTTATAGATCTTTCTAGACACATTTCATGGGACAAACGAATGTATAATTCTTGTTGGCTTTTCTTGCATACGAGATAATGTAAAATACATATTTAGAACCTTAATGAGGTCTTAACTAGATAATTATAGTAAAAAAAATTAATAATTCCATATCTCCATCTGCAGGGGACTCCAGTGAATATTATTGTGGGTTCTCATGTCTGGATTGAAGACCCAGAGGTATCTTGGATTGATGGACAGGTATTAAAAATCAATGGAAAGGATGCTGAAATTGAAACAACCGATGGAAAAAAGGTTTGTAGATTGTCACAGTGCCAGTTACTTGGTTCCTTATTTTATTGTATTATAGTTTTTGCCATTTTATATCCAATCTATTTTCTGAAGAAGATTGATAGGTTTACTGCTAATATTCGTTGATAGGCAGCAGTCAGCACCCTTTCATAGGCTTATTGTTTGACAACAGTTAGGGGTGGTGAACTGTTGCTTGGGGCTGGGGTGGGGGGTTTTGCCTCCATCCTTTTTCCCATGTATTTTTCTTTTTAGAAACAAAATTTATATGCTTCCCCTCAATATAGTATTTTTCACATTAGGTTCCCCATCTTATTTATTCTAGCTTTTTCCCCTGGTCTCCTTTGTCATCATCCTAGGTTTATATACATAGCCACTGCTCGGTGATAATCTGAAAAAACAATAAAGTACTGCTAGTCAGTCAGCTGTATCTGAGCTTCAAGTAGATCATGGGATGAATAAAGAAGGGAAGAGATCCATAAACAAATGTTCTTTCTTTCATTATTGAAATTCCCAGCTTGGGATTCAAGTCATCATTATGATCTATAGAAAATTATTTGATTAATTTTTAATGTTTATTGTGCTGAAAATCCACTGTCTAAGTTGTTGGAGTCTTGACGAATTTATCACCGTCTGTGTGTATTGTATTCATGCTTTATCTTTACTGATTGAACTCTGCTGTAAGAAAATAATTATTATTTGTTTTCTTCTAAATTCATTTTACTTCATTCCTTAATGCAGCACTCGTTCTTTCTCATGCTTGTATTGCTAACTGGAAAAAGTGCAAAATAGTGCCGTAACTTATCAAGCCATAGATTAAATCTGAATGATTACTTATACTTCTATTTTGGATATTTTAAGGTTGTTGCAAAATTATCAAAAATATATCCGAAGGATATGGAAGCTCCTCCTGGTGGAGTAGATGATATGACTAAACTGTCCTATTTGCACGAGCCTGGAGTCCTGCAGAACTTAAAAGCTAGATATGAATTGAATGAAATATATGTAAGGGCTTTCTTCCCTCTAATGTGATGAGATTCAGCAAAGTTTATCAGTAAAAATTTGTTACCTATTGTTTTGGCAGACTTATACTGGAAATATTCTGATTGCAATAAATCCATTTCAAAGACTACCTCATATTTATGGTGCACACATGATGCAACAATACAAGGGAGCACCATTTGGAGAATTAAGCCCTCATGTATTTGCAGTTGCTGATGTTGCATATAGGTAATCCTAATTTTTTTTCTTCTTAAGATCCAAGTTTCATTTCTGTAATTGAAACAAATATTAAATTGCTGATTTTATTAATACCAGGGCAATGATTATTGAAGGAAAAAGCAATTCAATTCTAGTCAGTGGGGAAAGTGGAGCTGGTAAAACTGAAACTACAAAAATGCTTATGCAATACCTAGCTTTTCTAGGTGGTAGGGCTGGTACCGAAGGACGAACAGTTGAACAACAAGTTCTTGAAGTATGATTCGATTAATGACTCATTTTTTAACTCCTAACATAATTCCCATTCGCATTTTCCCCCATGTGAATAACATTCCATTTTCTTATCTTTTAATATGAACTTATTCAAGACTACTATATTAACTGATTTGAGTGCAGTCAAATCCAGTTCTGGAAGCATTTGGAAATGCTAAAACTGTCAGGAATAACAATTCTAGGTGAGTCTCTCTTATATGTTGTAAATAAAGAATTCTATTGGTTTTATTCTCCATGATTTCTGGTATATAAATTAACTTTTTTTATCAGTCTTCTGACATGTGGGCAATAAATGATATCTTGTGCTTCATTCTTATTACTTCTCTGAAATTATAGATTAACTTAGTCTCAAGATTTGTCTAATTTCATTACCTTAATATCACATCAAATTGCCAAAAGTCATTATGATATATTAAGAAGGGAAGTTAGAATGATGCCTTTCTTAATCAAACTTTTGTTCAAGAAAATGTTTTTTTTATTTTTATTTTTTGCTTAGATAAACTGCTGCATGATGCTTAATGTCTAAGCTATTACCAAAGAGTTGGTTTCAAATTCTTCTAGTGTTAATGGTGCAGTCGTTTTGGTAAATTTGTTGAGATCCAATTTGATAAAAGTGGAAGAATATCAGGAGCAGCCATCCGAACATATCTTCTAGAGAGATCTCGGGTTTGCCAAATTAATGATCCTGAAAGGAACTACCATTGCTTTTATCTTCTTTGTGCTGCACCACAGGAGGTGGCCTTCTGTCTATGGTCTACTTATTCTTGATTCTTTTAATTATATAAATAAACTTACTGAAAAATTCTGCTAACAGGAAGTTGAGAAATACAAATTAGGAAATCCTAGATCATTTCACTACCTTAACCAGTCAAAATGCTATGAACTGGCTGATATAAGTGATGCTCGTGAATATCTTGCCACCCGGAGAGCTATGGATATTGTTGGAATAAGTCAAAAAGATCAGGTATTTATTTCACAAGTATGAATATAGCTTCTTTCTTGCTAGCATGTAGAATGATTGTTTTTTACCTCTCTGCTTTGCCTTGCTGTCTTGTTCTCAGGAAGCCATTTTCAGAGTTGTTGCAGCAATTCTTCATATTGGTAATATTGATTTTACCAAAGGAAAGGATGTTGACTCATCAGTTCCAAAAGATGACAAATCCAAATTCCACCTGAAAACAACTGCTGAGCTTCTCATGTATGGACACTGTTGTATTATTACTTCTATCCACATGATATGTAGTTTGCTTTAGATGATTGTCAATATTGGATCAGGTGCGATGCTGATGCCTTGGAAGACGCATTATGTAAGCGTGTCATGATCACCCCTGAAGAAGTTATAAAACGGAGCCT